GCATCCAAGCCAAGCTACATGTGATTGGTTCGTATCAGCATCCAAGCAAGCACTGGCGCGCTGGTCTGTGATGTTACCATATGCCTTAAAGACACACACTCTCACTTCAGTGTCTCGGGTGTTTCAATCTGCAATACATTACAGTTTGCTCATTGCAAACTCAGTGGAATCACTGATTGATATGTGCAAAAATATGGCAGCACGCAGTGAAACTCATGGCCCACATGGAAATTACTCACAACATGATGCAAGAGATCTCTATTTAAAGCATTCAGTCATGTTCCTGGTGTGAAATTTATGATGATGAATTTTTCTTATGGGATGTTTCTTCTGAAGTAGGTAGAGGCTGTGTGCATTATGTTAGACATGTCTGTTGTAAAAGTATATTGAAATCCCGGCCACTCAAGATAATCAATCAAATCTTGTATCAGGTAATACACCTGTACTTCCAATTGATGTCTTTCTCATGAGAACCCAAATAGTGTAGCTTTAAGGTATCACGCATCACCTTGAACTATACTGCTTGACTTGCCCTGCTTGATGCATGGATGAAGGACAGAAGTTATCATGGAGCATGCTCACACCTTGGAGATTACCGGTACTCTAGACTGCACCACCTCTGTGATGTGAACAGGGCAGGGGAGTGTTTCACAAAGACTAAGATCGACTCTAAGTTGAACTTAACTATGGCAGGCCATTCATGCCACTGTTTGCTCTCACCATTTACTGGCATTGGTCTCTCAAGTGAAGTATAAATCATAGTCACAAATCTACAGAATTTACATTTTTTGATAATTCATTACTGAAGGAAAAAATGTTATCTAAAGATCATAATTGAGAGACCAATAGTGAGAGCAACTAGTGGCATGAACGGCTTGCCATAGTTAAGTCCAACTTAAAGTCAATCTTAGTCTTTGTGAAACACTCCCCTAGTGTACCAGTGGTCCTCACTGACTCCTGCTGTGATTATGTTATCCATCGCAGGATCCTATAACACTTGCTCCTGTCACAATTGCTCCCTGTCAATATCCTTCTCTAACCAAATTTCTTAACCCTTAAACCTTAACCCTGAAACTAACACTAAACACCAGGGGGGTGTTTCACAAAGATCCTAAGTAGAACTTAACTCTAAGTTGGACTTAAAAAATATGGAGAGCCATATGTAACCTTAAAATAAAATATATTCAAAAGCGAAAAATCAAGTATTTTAGATTATTTATAATTTCCACATCAAGAAAATGAAATCTCCTTGACAATAGAAAATATGAATGATTTTATGCCTTAAAAAAAAGACTTTTACAAAATATTTTCTAAGGTGCCAACGGCTTTCCATAATTGTTAAGTCCAACTTAGAGATAAGTTCAACTTAAGATCTTTGTGAAACACCCCCTGATGTACCTATATGCAACCCTAACCCTAACCTTAACCCTAGCCATAACTCTAGCCATAACTCAAACCTAAAAAACCAATTGCAACCCTAACCCTATTCCTTTGATGGAACAAAGCTTGGAGTGATTGATGCAGGATCAAATGTTGAGTCACTCCATTGCAGATAGGAATAGGAATGACCTGATGTACCATTGGCCCACCTTGACTTGTTCTAGGTTGCACCATGGTACCCTCTCAACCTGTGGTTCATCTTTGTAATGTGATCAGGGTCTTGCACTGTCTCACCATGTTGCTTTCGGGTACATCAGTGGAATGATTCAAGATTTAGAGTTACAGGACATATATGTACTAGGAAGTCTTGAATGACCCCCCTCCCCCATCTCTTCCCCCGCGTCTCCCAATAAAGTTGGTGATTTCAAATTCTGGTCAAATTCCTGTAGGAATAGATTAAAACATCACTGTTATCATGCAGTTGGTTGAATAAAAATAGCTCTAATACAGCAATGTAATGGATATTTTCATCAAGCAGGGATGAGAAGAATTAGTCAAAGAGAACACAGCGTGATGTACAGAATGTAGCTAATATGATGTAGATCAACTCACATCTATGGAGTTTATCCTCTTCAATCAAGTGATCACATTTGTGTCTGGATATTTATAGCTCACTATGAATCAGACCATCTTGAGAAGTGTTTAGATGATGAGCAAGGAATCCGGAATGCATCATACAGTGATATGGATAATGTGTGAGACTGAGATATGATGTGGTTAACCTAAAACCAAATGATTATCTGTACGTCTCCAGCGGAAACTCCCTGGTATGTCATGGATGTATGTAGGGAAGCAAACACTACTCCCAGCCTGTACACACTTCAGGCAATCTTTACAAACCTCTTAATATTGCTTATAGATAGGGGAATACACATGTGACAAAGTATCCCATTTAGATATCACTTAAAGAACTAGTTTTGAAAAGGTCAGTTGACATTTAAGTGTCAGCTCAAATGACAGTTGGGTATAATCATCAGTGTGCACGATGATTCTCAAACCTTTGTTGCACTGTAAGTTTTGTTTCAAAAAATTTCATTATACATAACTGAATAACATTCATACTAGAATTTTTTTGTTTAATTCCCTGTCATATAGCATACAGTTATTTGTTAAAGTTATACAATGAATTATCCTAGTCTGAAAGGGGCAAGGGGGGGGGGGGGGGTAATATTGAAGTGAAAGTACAGTATGCCATATTTTTTTGACTTGCTCAAAATGAAAGTATGAGTCAATCTTATACCAATCATGAAGTTATCTGTGCTTCTACAGAGAAAGGTCAATGTTCTTGAAGAGTTTGTTCCTTTACTCTTATTCTAGAGAGTTCATTTTATTTGAGATGGTACCCCTATGTAATATTTGAACAACTTTGTTGAAATGAAATTCATATTAACAGACACAGCTTTGATGGACTCTCTTCACTAAAATGTGTTCTGCCATTTCTCTTTTTGTTAATTTATTCATTTATATTTTCCTGAAGGGCTTGTATCAGAGTCTGAACTTGACGACTTGGTCGCGTCATGACAGCCTACATGTGTCTAGTGTGAAGAAAGAGAAAATGTTTTAGGTAAAGCTGGGTTATTGACTTACATAAGAGCTGGTGCAATCCACCTGTCATTACACCTAAAACAATCCGGTCTGATGATAAAAGAAATTACGCGGATTTCCCATATTGCATCCCCCATTAATGGGGCCTTCCTGAGTCTGGAAATGATCAATTATGATTCATGTTTTATCGAGGTCGTCTGTTCTGCCTCTTCCTTTCGATCTATCCTATTCTATATTTTCTTTGGCATTGTGATTGGTGTAGGTGCTAGGCTACGCACCGGAATACACTTAGCTGCGATCTCACTTTGCTTTCAATTTATTAACGTGATCTGTAGTCATCTTTGGAATTTTCTGTAACTTTTAGAGCAGGCCTGTGTTAGAGTGAAACTTGTGCAATTATGGGGAACATTATTGCCATTATTTGTGGGATGTTGCATTGTGACTAACTGCTCTCAGACCTTTCGACTCTTAGGTTAATTATTGTGATTTGATGGTTATTGCTACTTTCAGTTTTTAATAATCATTATCAGGAGTCATTTATATGGAATGAACGTTGGAATAGCCTTATAATGTGATTACATGTATGCTGCTCTTTCATTACTTGGGATGTGTTCATAAGCAGTTTGTATGCCATCTTCTTAACTTACCGACGTACGTGCAGGGATTCTTGTATTTTGACTGATCGCTATAAAGCAGCTATAATTTCAGTGCAATTAACTGTGATTCGATGGACATGGATACTCTCACTATTTAAAAAAATATCAAGAGCTCATCAGAAATCTAGTTCAATATCTACTAGACAGTCAAGGGATAGTGTTGGACAGACTCCATGTTAAGCTACCCTTTTTCATTTGGAAGAGTTTGTATATCGCAGTGTGCAGTTCTATTCGCTGGGTGTGTACATTGTAACTAAATGCAGTCTCGGCCATAAATGCAAATTGCTATGATATAAATGGTAGTAGGTACTTGCAACTTTTAACCATTTTTACGGGGAGCCTGTCATAAAGCTACTTGGATTGTATGGATGTATTTCAGTGCGAATGCCATTTCATAGCTGACTCACATATTTGCTGAATCTTGTGTTTCCCTCTGTTTGCCTGTCTGCATTCTCCATCAGTGCAATTTTCCTTTGGAATTCTAAATGGAGACATTTCCTTGGTTTATCTAACCATCAATGATTGAAGCTTTGAATTATTCATCCTTCTGGTGCTTGTGGTTTTTAGATGCAGGATTCCCCTAAACACCACCTTCAATGCAATAAAGGAACTCTGAATATCTAAGTCTGCAACATTAATGCTGTGTTTGGAAGTTTGGGTGCATTATTTGATATAAATTGGTGGATATTTTGTGGAGCTGGATCTAAAGCCAAGACGACCATTGCAAACGTTTTCTCAGCAGCATCTGCAGTCACATTCTGAATTAGTGTGACTTACGGATATATCAAGAGGAGATACACTTACTTAAGAATGTATACTAAGAAAGGGCAGAAACGTGTGTTACGTAAGTCATATTGCAATCGGCTAACTAATAAAATGTGTATTGAGCTTCATGTGAGCTTCTGTAGATTGTCTATGGAACATATTCTAGGATATTAAAGTGACTTATTCACAGCTAGTGGTTCAAAATGATTGGGGGGAAAAAAATTACATGATTTTCACCTTGATTGCATTTAAGCAACTGGTTTGAGTCATACTTTATCAGGGAACTTGGCATTGATATGCTGTGTATCTGTATACCCAGAATTGTTTTGAACTAACTACTTTGACACCATGCCAATAAAATGTGTCATGCTTTCTCTATGTTCTTATTTTCCAAACACTTTTCATGTATGTGGGGGCTCATGTTTGGGCTAAAATCACCAAAGACTTCTCACTTCAATGAAGTTGGAGTACAACCTGTCAATTTTCATCGTTACCATAGAAACCCGACAATGTATTTCAAGAGTTGATTATTCACATTTTAGGCAGTGGATCATTTATTTACCCGGAATCCATCTCTTGTTTATTTTTCCGCAGCTTCCAACCCTCCGCCCAAGCCACCAGCCCCAGCCGCTGGTATGGTGAAACCTCCAAGGAATATGAACATGGGAGGAGGAGGAGGAGGAGGAGGAGGAGGAGGAGGGGGAGTCAGTGACCTCAATGACATGCTAGATGACCTTGTAGGCACGGTCACACCATCTACGTAAGTCAAGAAATATTTATTTCAGACTACCGTATTTGCCGGCGTAAAGGCCACAGTATTTTTGGAAGAGAGAAGTCGGGGTGCGGCCTTTACGCCGAAACAGTAAAAATCGCAAGTCAAAACAGCACGTCCATTATTTGTAGTCAACTTTATACAAAAAAATATATTAACAAAATTGACTTGAAAACACATCGGACAAGATCTAGTCTGAACCACGTCAGCAGCAAATTTGAAGAAGTTATCTTTTTAATCGTTGTGCAACCAAAGAAATAAGAAGAAAACTGACCAGAAACTCGTACTAAAAATCGTACTTGTAAAAATGTCCTTAGACAGCGCACAGCCCGGGTACGTAACCAAAATCATACCTCGCTCACACACTCTGTGGTGGGGAGCTACGGGGCTGGGAGTTGCCAACAAATCCAACGCATCTTCGGAGATTCACAGCGCGCAATCGTCGGTGTTCTTAACTTTTTAGTAAGATAATTCTGAATTATAATTGAGACTATCTAATTAATTAAAGCAACAAACTAACCTCGGTAGATCTTTCTCCATTTTCTCCATTTGGCGGTACGATAGGGGTAAGACCGGATAACATTATATGGCCACAGCTTGGTTATGGCAGGATTATATTAGTGCCGACTCGCTGCATGCAAGCTAAAGATGGCCATTCAGGTTTCTGTATGCATGCGAAGCGCCTTCTAGTGTCCAATGAATATGCTAATCTGCCTAAAAATCAATGAAGATTTGCTAAATTACGATAATTTTTTAGGTAAACTTCCTGTAAATTTATAAAACATTTGATAATTTTGGTATTAGTTTGTAGGAAAAATAGAGTTCTACGAGAAAATTACGATTATTTTCTTTGGTCCGTTTTTTTTTTTTCTCTATGAAATGTCAAAGTTGGAGGTGTGGCCTATGCGGCGGTGCGGCCTTATCGCCAGCAAATACGGTATAGAATTTCATTTCTATTTTTCTCATAGAAATTGATATGATTACCCTAGTGTTAATACATATAACTCTAAAACGATGGTTTCTGACTTTTCGACAGCATATGTACCGGTATATGTGTCGAAGAAAGAGAGGCAACTGGATTAAAAACAGTAAGTCCAGGTTATCACCTTCAACATTACAGACTACATACCAGATGATTGTATCAAGTTGACAACTGCATGGATTAGACCAAGTATCAGAGTAAATGGCAATTTTAGTTTCGATTATGATAATTATTCTAAGATCCTTGCTAATGTATGAGGCATAAAAATTAATGACCACATGTTGTGTAAACAAAAAGAAAGAACAATTTTCTTTGCAAATGGTGTTTCTTGGTGCGGAATCACTTTCGTATTTGTTTTTGTTTTTGATCTACTTATATGTCATATTGATCAAAAGAGCCATGAAGAAACCATGTCATTGTTAAATAGATGTCACTGTGCATAGATGTGCTCGATCTTTTGTGTGGTTGTAATAGGAGAAACATACCTCATGATCTCAAACTAAAGCAACTCCTTATCTTGTTTCAATGAAAGTTTTGTGACTAAATTTGATTTCAAATTAACTTCATTATCTTTATAATTTACAGTTACACAGTGGAGACAACTACCAAGACTTATACCACACACTCCCAACCACCAGTACACTCCCAGCCCCCCAAGGCCCAGCCTGCCCCGCCTACCCACTCTGCCCCGCCCACTCACTCTGCCCCGCCTTCCCAGCAGCAGCACCAGCAGCCAATGAGTAGAGTGATGACAAACAGCACCCATGCCCCGCCCCAAGCCAGTCAGCCTCAGATCAGTCAGCCACCTCTGAGGACTGCTTCATCAGCTACCAAGGAACTGGATGATCTCATGGCATCACTCTCAGACTTCCAGGTAAACCAGTGCAAGCTAGAGTGGAAACCTCCTAATAAAAAGAAAGTTGAGTTCTGGGAAGGGTGAACAATAATTTGTGCGCGTTATTGCATTTTGCAAGTGTAGAAGAACATCAGATAAAAAATGTTCCCTAAAAAGCGTAGCTCTTCAAATGCCCTAATACTCTAAATATGGCATGAAACATCATAAACATTGGGACAGATTTTGTATGCCACATGGTCGTGTAGTCCCATATACATCTTTCTGTGTACAGTGCTTGTAACTTACTTTACCAAGACTGGGCCAAATTTCTTATCATTTTGATGATTCCAGAACCTAGCAGTACACACCAATACTTATATGCTAGATGATCAACCTTTTCTGATCAATTCCACAATGTTTCTTTCACAATGCAATCGCATGACCAGAACTCAACTTTATCTTTAAGAAGGCCAGATATTCTGCTTTGCAAGGACGAAGATGCAATCTAATCAATTCTGATCAAATAGGTCATCTGTTATCCCGTTATAAACCTGAAGAGAAGCCTCCATGGAAACATCATATTGCATTACCAGGATCAATCTGATTCCTTGTACATGCATTGTATTCAAAGACGAGGTTCCCTCCCAGGAGGCATCAAGGGACTCCACCTTGAGGCACCCCTGAGGCAGCCCTGCATGGCTCTCTAACCTTGATTTGCCAATATAGCTGCATGTTTTAAGAAAGATGAAGACAAATCTTTAATGTAGTGATGGTTATTGTACCTGACTCCTAATAAAGCATAAATGCTTGTTAGTAAGTAACCAGAGGACCAATGGCTTTAGGTCGTCTCCGAGAGACCTGGTAATGAGGATTAATGCCTTACCAAAGGGCACTAGCCCATCGCCTTGGTTTCGAACTCGGGTCACTGGATTACGAGACCACTGCTCTACCAACTGAGCTATCGCGCCTCTTTAAAAATTTAATAAAGTACATGCAGTGTGTTTATATTAAGAAGTCATAACCTGAATGGATATGTGTGAAAAACCAGTAAATTAACTCACAACTTTTTCTCTTTATTTTAACCCTAGCTGTCACCAACCGACACAGTGCCCCCTGAACCTGCCTACGCCCAGCCTCACAAAGTCACCCCACCCCCGAAGCCCGCCCACCCTGCTCCTAACATGGTTAACATCAACAACACTCCTGCACAGCACCCAGCCCCACCAGCTCAGCAGTACCCACCCCAGCACCCAGCACCACCTGCCCAGCACCCTGCTCCACCGGCCCAGCAGAGCTATGCTCCTTCCCAGCCCAGTCAGCTGGATTCTATGTTGGGTCATCTCAACTCTGATGTTAGCAGGCAGGGAGTGCAGACCATGGCTAAGGGAATGTGTGCAGCATGCCAGAAACCTATAGCTGGACAGGTAAGTTGACAAGCAATGAGTAATTTCAAGTTGGGTGTTTATGGCTGGTGTTAAGGCTTTGACCTCTGAATATCGTCAACTTCCTGTAGCTAGTGTTATCGATTTTGCAAAATTATCGTCTGCTGAACTGACCTTTGTGGCTGGTGTTAATATTTTACGTACAAATGTACTAACACTAACCCCTAGGGATTAAGCAAATGTTGATTTCCAACTTTTTTTAATGACAGTTTTACTGTATCATATGTGAATGAATCTCAAGGATCCATTTCCGGTTTCATGTTCTACAGGAAGTCTGGCCGAAAAAAGCCAGCATGATCGATGTCCAGTATTCTTTACAGCTATAGATACATGTAGTTAAAGGGATCCGGTAACTTTGTTTCAAATTCTGAAACAAAATTCTGGATTAAGCTCATGATGCAATGATAATTATTAACCTTTAGGTCAGTTAGGAACCCCATGAATTTTACAAGCCGATCGCCTGTCTGATTATCAAGATATTAATGATTGGAATTACAAATTTTGAAAACCGTTCGCCTAATGGTTTTCATAACACTACAGTCTATTGGGGAAAACGAGTATGGTAAAACCGGTCACTCAAAGATTTTTTACTTTTTTGAGGCACTTCTTGATCATTTTGAAGCGCAATTTTTTAGGGCTTCAATATAACACCATGTCACAGACACTGATAACACGTAGGGCCGTGTATCTCATATTTAACATTGTTAAACGATCCCTTTAAGGATGTTCAGCTCTGATAGCAACAAAGATTCTTGATACCAAATAAAGTTCTGTAATCACACTGCGGTAAAGAGGCTCAGAAAACACTTATGGAATTACATGAACCGGTACTTTTGAAAGGCAATTTATCTTCTTAAATGATCCTAGAATGTGTACTTGTTGGTACAGAAGAATTTGAGTGTAAAATGATACTGTATATATCCTGAAGAAATTGATCTTGCTTTATATTGAATGAAATACACACCTACAGCTCTTTATAAAAACATTTTTTTAGCATCACAGGTAAAATACAAACCAAATTAATCTCTCTTCCCTTGAATACATTGTAGCAGCTTTAATTGGTATTAGAAAGAGCTTGCTACTTACTTGACACTAGATGAATTTCTTTGTCTTTTCCAGGTTCTGACAGCATTGAGTCAGATGTTGTTTTCAGTGCACATATTCTGTTTATGCTCATTGTCAGAGACAACTTTCAACTCAAGTATACATTAAATCGATCTGATGTATATTTCTCTCTTTTTTCCTTAGATAGTAACAGCCTTAGGTCAAACGTGGCATTCAGAGCACTTTGTTTGAGCTCAATGTCAGAAAAAGTTTTTAAACTAAAGTAGACAAGAGCATGAATCCATATTCTTCTGTCAGGTGTAGTATTCAGTGCATAAACTTTGCTTCCTCTTGTTGTCATAACGAACTTGCTACGTAAGCACCTAATATCTATCCATATATTTCTCTCTTCTTCCCTTAGATTGTGACGGCTTTAGGACAGACGTGGCATTCAGAGCACTTTGTTTGCGCTCAGTGTCAGAAAGAGCTTGGTTCTCAGACGTTCTTTGAGAGAGATGGACAAGCATTCTGTGAGGAGGATTATCATAACCTCTTCGCTCCTAAATGTGCCTACTGCCACGGACCCATTAAGGATGTGAGTCTTCCGCCTTGGGCAGATATGACCCGGCAAATCCGTGGTGTTTTACTAATGATGACGTAAAGTATGATATGCATCCCTGGGACCCGTTCACACAGCCTTTTTTCAATGACAAGTGACAAAAATCAGTGACAAATCTGCTGATAACCAATCAGAAGCAAGGATTTCTCTAGCTTATAATAAACACTTTCATTTGTCACTAATGACAAGTTTTGTGAAACGGGGCCTGGGGGGTATTTCACAAAGATTCTAAGTTGAACTTATCTCTAAGTTGGACTTAAAAATTATGGAAAGCCATTAGCATCTTTGAAAATATTTTGTAAAAGTTATTTTGAAAGGCATAAAATGTTGATTCAAATCATTCATATTTTCTATCATCAAGGAGAGTTCATGTTCTGGATGTGGAATTTATAAAAAGTCTAAAATACTTGAATTTCTGCTTTTGAATATATTTCGTTTTAAGGCTCCAATGGCTGTCCATAACTTTTAAGTCCAACTTAGTGTTAAGTTCTACTTAGGATCTTTGTGAAACGGGGCCCTGGTTTCTATATCCTATAACACAGAGATCAGTGAATATACAGAGGATCTCTGTTGCCTGCAGCTGCCATTCATTTACACTTTTTTTTAACACAGCTTTGTTTCGTTTTGTTTTTCATGCGGTTAACTGCATCATATCTGAACAAACCTTCTTTAGAGCTTTTTTGTTTGTTTGAATTTCTTTTTCTATCTTTGTTCTTCACATTCTGTCAGTTTACTTTTCCTTTTTTCTGTTTTTTGTTTAATTGCGATTTTCTTAGCTTTGACAGATTCTTTCTCTATTTGATTATGAAATATCGTCCATTGAAAGCTTGTAGGGCATTAATACTCTTCTGGAATGTAAACAGACGATATGTTGTATGTTGATTAAGTATTGTACCGAAAGACATTCATTTTTATGATCAAGCGTTTCTTTAGACATAAAATTAAAAACGTACCTTTGATTAGCAAATCTTTGCACAGATAAAATTTCAAACAGTGAACAGACTCTCAAAGTTTATATATTGTAACTAGATTTACCCGTACTTGTTTTTTTTGCTATATATGTGCTTTAAAATTGCATCCATCAAGCTATTACACGTGTCATCTCTTTCCCCTCCTTGCAGAGGTGTGTGACAGCTTTGGATAAGACCTGGCATCCAGAGCACTTCTTCTGCGCTCAGTGCGGTAAGACGTTCGGTGAGGATGGCTTCCATGAGAAAAACGGCCGAGCGTACTGTAAGGAGGATTACTTTGATATGTTTGCACCTCGGTGCGGAGGATGTAACAGAGCTATCATGGAGAACTTCATCACAGCATTGAATGCACAGTGGCATCCAGAGTGCTTCGTATGCTCAGTAAGTCATGATCATTCAAGTTTTGCGTCAGTATTCAATTAACTGCTTAGGTCATATTTTACTCAGCTTTGGGCTTACAATTGGTATTCAGTTGAAACTTAAAGGTATAGACAAGTTTTGGAAACGCCCCGCTGTCAACAAAATGAAATGGGAGCTCTTATTACCAATCATGTGAAAGAATATATATTTTGACGAATACGTGATGATACAAATTTTGCCAGGAAACCGCCTACTTATTGATATATTTGGTAAGTTATCATATTTATCCAGCCTAGATAGATATCGCGTAGTCCCATATAATTTTTCTGTGTACAGTGCTTGTAACTTTACCAAGACTGGGCCAAATTTCTTATCACTTTTATGATTCCAGAACCTTGCAGTACACACCAATACTTATATGCTAGATGATCAACCTTTTCTGATCAATTCCACAACATTTCTTTCACAATGCAATCGCATGACCAGAATTTTTCTATACCTTTTAAGTTGGCTTACTAAAGTAAAATACCTAGATTTGATTTGAATAAGACTTTAGCTATCTACTTAGCTAGACTAAATGCTGAGTAAATACAGACAAAATTATATTATTGAATTGAATATGGGCCCTGGTATCTGTATTAGAAGATTTGGTAAGAACTATTGAAGGATGTTTTTTGTTAGCTGTTTATTTTAATTTAGGTTGTTTGCATGTAACACTGAAATTATATATTGAATCTTGAATCTTGAATTATATAAATAATAGTATCAGCTTTTAGAATGTATAGAAGCAAACAAGAGCTTGTACTTTTCATTTGTTAAACACTGAAATTGTACTTTATTATTATTATTTTAAAAATGATAAACTATGCAATTGAAGTGAAAAATCATATAGATAATCTGATGAACATGATCGATTTAAGAGACAGCTTTAATATATGTTGTATAATATTGCTAATTTATTATCTTCAATGTGAATGTCTGAAAATAAAAGGAGCCTTATCCGATATCTGAATCATTTAGAAGTTCTCATTCTCTTAATTCCAAGTCCTTTTAATAGAGCAATAGTTAAGCGGACAGTACACATGAAGCTGATTTGAAACCTACCGTGGAAACTAGTAATGCAATTTATTAGTGTAGCAGTACCACTTTAATTTCATCAAAATCATCTGAGAACTATTTCAAACAATGTTTTGATCATTTTCTCCTCCATTAGGACTGCAGAGTACCTTTCAACGAGGGTGATTTCTTTGATCATGACGGAGTCCCATACTGTGAGATCCACTACCATGCTGTACGGGGCTCCCTCTGTGCCGGCTGTAACAAGCCAATCACAGGCCGCTGCATCACAGCCATGCAACGCAAGTTCCATCCGGAGCACTTTGTCTGTGACTACTGCCTGAAGCAGCTCAACAAGGGAACCTTCAAGGAACAGAACGGCAAGGCATACTGTCATTCATGCTTTGTCAAGCTCTTCAACTAGATAGCTTTGATAGAGGGCGGTCTGTAGGGGTCACAGCTCAAGGGACCAACAGCCCATGAGACCGACAAGAGTCTTGCAGATCTTCTGAAAGGTTATCTTTAGGGTCCATGAGACTGACAATGCCCATCTGGTGGACCTTCTAAAAAGTTCTCTGAGAGTCCAACAGCTCACAAGACGGCATATCAGTCTTGTGGTCCTGCTGACACTTTTTGTAAAGGTTCAGGGGGGCATTTCACAAAGCCTTTTTCCAATGACAAATGACAAAAATCAGTGGCAAAGCTGCTGATAACCAATCAGAAGCAAGGATTTCAGTAGCTTATAACAAAAACTGTCATTTGTCACTGATGACAAGTTTTGTGAAACGGGCCCCCAGAAGTCTAACATTGTGAGTCTGGTGAGCTGTTGATCTACTTGGATGACCCGGTCCTAAGGTTTCCTTGGTCATGTATCATACATGGAGACTTCCCTAAAATACTGAACTAGTCTGCACTTTATATTTTGCTTGTAGAAAAGTCAGTCATATGCTTTTCACAATGGTAACATTTCGCTTAGCCCCATACCGTAGGTGGGGCTAAAGGGGGGTCTTAGCCCTGCCTATAGTCCTGGTCTAAGCTAAGCCCACTTTCTGTTCAGACACAATTTCACCAAAGTGGGCTAGCTCCACCTAAAGTATGGGGCTAGTTGGCCCTGCAAAAATGCAGGGCTAACTCCGCAATTGCGGTGCTAATCTGAATTTTCTTATTCCGAGATAGGCGCTTAGTACAGGACTAAAACAGCCTGTATGAAAAGCCAAAAATGTTAGTCCAGGGCTAAGGAAAGTATGTGGTTAAGTAAAGTACAGGGCTAAGCAAGACATGTGTGAAAAGCATACCAGTCTACCTACAATAGATTGTGATGCCTCCAAGATTCTAAGGCTATGATAAAATGATATCTGAATGGTGCTTGGAGCAACTTAAGGAATGCTTTATTCCTGTTCATCTACACTGGGGTCGAGAGAGACAATCGGAAATAAATGCCTTGTCTAATAAACTCAGGGCCCACTTTCACAGAACTTGTCATCAGTGACAAATGACAATTTTGGTTATAATCTAGTGAAATCCTTGCTTCTGATTGGTTATCAGCAGATTTGTCACTGATTTTTGTCATTTGTCATTGAAAAAAGGTTTTGTGAAACTGGGTCCCAGGTGTGTGCAATTAAGTCTTACAATAAATCGCATTGAATCACTTACCTGATTTAATTACAAACCACATCTTTGGGGAACTTATCTTAAATTTTCAGAAACGATAGATATATACATGTAGATAATTTGCTCTCAGTTGTTGTAAGATAGGAATTATCAGAACACAAAAGATCCTGAAATTATCTGAATTTTGATACAGTTGAAACATTGTAGTCCAGGCAAATGATATGTCTTCAGATTAGTGATACATTTCTGTATATCATTAGTATACTTGCAAAATAAATGCAAGTCATTTGATGTTGTAAGAGATCATGTGTGACATTTTAAAAATCTATTTCAGGAGTTGAAATCTTTTCTCTCTGGTTGGGAGCTCGTTTCTTGATCTTGACAAAAAAGATGGAATTCTTTCTCTATTCATTGTCACAATTCTTTGCCTTTTTTTATCTGTCATAATGTTTATAATGAATGAATGATATATTACTGAATATTACAGTACTGTCTAAGTTAATGTTTACAATGATAAATTATATATTATGTCTTGCGCATTGCTACATTTTAGCATTATATGACAATGCTAATTCAAAAACTGTATATATTTTGACATCTTTCTTTTCTTCTATTTTATTGATATGTAACATGCTTTATGTTAATTGATTTTTTTTCTTGATATAGCTGCTTTCTACTTGCATCCATATATTTTTCAGTTCAATTCTACAAATTATACAGAAGAGGCGATAGAAATGATTGTAACAGAATACCAAATATATAGAGAGAGCTATTTCTTCATTTTTATGAGTAGTAGTGTACACTGTACATGCATATAGAGTGTTTGAGAACTGCATTTGCTTTTTATATCCTTTTCAACTCCTCCTCACCTCCCTTCCTATCAACACTTGTTCAGTGCTTGTTTTTCCCCCCTGTTTTTCCCTCCTGTTTTTAAAAGGAATAATGTACCACTGCCATTATTGATGTAATGTACAGTTCTTCCAAAAAAAATGCACTTTTAGTTTTGATGACCTTGTTTTGTCGGAGGTAGAATCACGAATCAGCGACTGGTAGTTATATGATAAGAACTACAGTTATGATTTGTTTACACTCATCCTTAGGACTGGAGTGGGAAAAGACTAAACTCTGGATATTCATAAAGTGAAATTTAGGTTGTTTTATAGAGTAAATTTTATCTTACATGAGAACCACTCTTACATAACAAATAGGGATAGGGGAAGTACATGTATTTGTGAACGAATAGTATAATTTATGGAACAAACATTCATTTGATACAGTATTTCAGTAGATGCTTTATGATGTTAAATGTTCAGACTTTTAACAATTGGGCCATCCCCAATAAAGAAGTCAATTGTAATGGAAGGAATGTGATTTGCTGTGCAGATCAGTAAGACACCTTTAATTTAGATTATGAAATGTTCATGAGAAGTTTGATTTTAGTTACTAGGAGACTGAACATTAGAGATCGATATGAAAAGAATTAATTCGTTTTTGTCTTTTAAACAGAATGAACAAATCCAATTATTAAAAAACATTTTGGTTTGTTTGTTAAAATTGGCTCTACACTTTCTCTATTTTTCATGTTACATGAAGAACATTATTTCTATACAAAAAAAAACCCTGATTAAAAAACATGCACTGATGAGGTTTTAGGAAGTGGTTCTACTGTTTCTGTTGTGGTTACAAGTGCCTTGTATAGAGTAAACTTGGAAAAATATTATCTTCCTGTTTTTAAATTATTTCATTATTTGTCATGCAAGTTTAATACTCAAAAGGAATTTTTTACATGTCTTCAGATTTATCAGAACAAAATTATATTTTCATGTAAATTCTGTTTGCAATTGTATTATTTGTGTCTCTTTAGCAGTTGTACATGTATTAATGGCGAAAAAAAGGTTTACGTATACAATACTTTCTGCTTTTATGTAACTACATGTAATTTGGTTTATTTCCTTTTTCTTCTTCTCTTAATGCAATACCTGGAATCAGACCTATACTCACCATGTACATGTATATGATTAGCGTGTACAGCTAAAAGTGATGAACTGTCTTCTTTAAAGATATTCTCCACTTCTGGATATTAACAAACATGATACAAAAAGCTGTTTTATTTAACAAATACAATATATAATTATGTTTTAAATATGAATCTGCAATTTCTATTTCTCTGAATTTACAGATATGGAAGAGTCATTAATTACACTGATGCATCAAATCGTCCCTATTTTCACAAAGTGACGGTAGTGAGGAAAATCGTCACGCAAAGTGAATGCAATTTTTTTCCACTACCGTCACTTCGTGAAAACAGCGACGAAATTTATGTGGCTGTTCCAGGGCCTCACACCTTTTCTTTTCTTTTGAGGGGGTTTGGAGTGTCATATTTTGGTCTGTGTGCTCCCGATTCTTGTTAAGATTGGGAATCGTTTAGAACCTAGAGAAAAATCTTATTAAGAGAGGCATGTGTACTGGTCCTAGGCTGTTTGTCTGGAGGAGGCACATTTAGTTTCTTACCTTTTCCAAGTTTGAATGTATTCTGTTAACATGTAGATCTCTATAACAGTCTCATGTACCAAAAGAACCACCCTCTTTACATGTCTGCTCGTAACTCACTACTTATGTTGTCCAAGTATAGCTTGGTAGAGATTTATTTATTTAGTGATGTAAATTCTATATGATTTGTGACATTTTATCCTTGTTTTTTTCTCTTTTTTTAATGCATTACAGATATTTTTTGCTGATGTAATTTACCATTATGGATGGACTTATCATTATGAAATAATAAAGAATATGATAGCAAATGCTTTGACCTATACAAGATGTGTACTGTTTGATTGGTTTTCATTCTTGAGTGTTTGTTTTAAAGTTCTTGCATGTAAGTACTAGTACAGTGTAAGTGTGCCCTAAACAAATTGAATCAGTTTTAGCATATGGACTTAATAACACTGCTTAATTCAATGTGCACATGCACATTGAATCAGTTCTAGCATATGGAATTAATGCCGCTGTTTAATTCATTCTGTTATGTCAGTATTTTCTTCCTTTTTGTTCCACGTTTACATTTTTTTTTTCATATACATTCTGTTTCATTCCCTCCCTCCACTCACAGATTTCCTTGCCATTGATGTCATCTCTGACCTCTCTTTCCAATCTTCCTTGTCCTTCCACACCATCATTTCATCTTCTCTTCCTTAAAAGTTTTTTTTTATTATTTGATATATCACCCCTAATGATAGTAACTATGACATTGATCTATAAAGTAGAAAATGTAATGGCTTTTGCCTTTTCTACATATATACACCACTTTTACAGTTATTGTTATCATTATTGATGATATATGCCAGGGCGGCAGGGCAGGTATTCAATTCAATACTTGGCATACTGTAAGTAAGAAATATACTAAGTAAATGGCCAAGCTAAGAAATTTACTTATCTGGTATTCAAATCACATTTTAGGCTTAGATTTTGTCTTACATACAGTAAGTATAAGTAAAAAACTATCTGATGAGTATGCCTACCAATCGAGGCCTCCTGATAATTGACTTCAGTCTGGTAGGGAGGGGTCTTAAATTTAGGGTAAAATACTTAGCAAAAAGTTTGAATTGAATACCAAAATTGGCTTAGTATTTTATCTAAGCCAAATACTAAGTAAAAGCTTAAATTTTGTACTTAAGTATTGAATTGAATATGGGCCCAGGCTCCTTACTGTTTTACAGCAAAAAGCCCTTCTCATCATCATACTTAAAACCACTGCAGTTTACAGCATCAGATCTAAACAAGACTTTATCCATACTTGTATCAAACATACAGATATCAAACTCTCCTTTCTTCACTACCCTCCTGTTTCTATGTCTCCTCTTTCTCTGTTCCAGATCTAATAAATCACCCCAACCACACAACTTCACACAAATGATAAAATGATCTACGACCAAGTTTTAAGATGGCTCTCAAATAATTACTTTTATTCAAGCGTTATGGTGTATTTGATCATATACATGTATAATACAGGTATAGAAAATCCACTATCTTACATTTATTTACACAACAAGATATTGGGCCTTTCATTTAATAATATCAAAATGAAGGGCTTTGTCATAAACTACATCAAACAGAGAACTTTTGTAAAAAGGATGCATCATAAAAATGTTATGAAAATGTGGTATGTTTGGCTTGTTTGTAATTAAACGTGTCTACATTTGTATAAGGAAAGTACCAAGGGATATTCCAAACACTATGCACCTACGTCAATTGAATAGTTTGCCGTAGTAAGTCAACATTTTTAGAAACAGGATCAATTTAGAGTTCACTTGAAATACAAAAATATTGAGGGGAAAAGGACTTGTTTTCAATTGTTACATTTGACTGTATTTAGTAATGTATCATATACTAAATACAGTACAAGAAATTCATGATACAGTAATTGTCACTTCTAACAGCTCTTAACAACAAGCATTTATGACTGACTGAAACGTCGTAAATTGGCTGAACCAAATCTGCATGTATGTGTTCAATCCCAGAAAAGATGAAAGCGTTGGAATGAATGCAAGCATTTGCTTAAAAAATATCTCACCTTCTGTCCTGGTATGATTATGAAGAATTGAATGAAAAGTTACCATTTGAAATGTTATTAATATCTTATTAGTAGTAGGAGGATCTTGTAACATGTTTAATAGTAAAATATCTTTCAATACATCATAAAAGATTAAATAATGAGTACTCCATAAAATTAGTTTCTTGAAAGTCACAGGGTACAATAAGATGTTTACACAAACATATCACAATTACCATTTTTACATGAGATTTGAGAAATTTGTTAATGGTTTCATAAAAAGCTTTGTTATATTAATAACATAGCTGTCAAAAATAGTGGATACATTTCTCTTTCCCAGGCAAATAAGGAAAAAGGATATTTCACAAAGAGAATTAATACTTTGAATTTAAAGTTCTGAAGGACATACAGATAATAGTTGATGAAGCTGGTAACTTAATGAGTACCTGGTCTGTTACAGTTAAGAGTGCGTCACAGTGCAGGTGCTGCGGGATGTGAACATTATGTCTGTTTTTACAAAAACAAACAGTTAAAAAACTATATTGTGCTTTTAATAAAATTAAAGGAATCCATATTCCTTTTGAACATCATGTCTATTTAAAAAAAAATATTATGCTTTAAAAAAAAGGAATCCATATTCCTTTGGACCAACATATGTCTATTTTGTTGTTATCTTTACAAAGCAAACATACTTTTAAAATGCTCTTTCATATTTGTGAAGATGTATTGATAAGCAAGAGTTAAAATCAAATAGTGCTTAAGAAAGAAAATCGATTGCTCTTTTAAAATTACAATTGTACCTAAAATTATGAAATTGTAGACTTTTACAATGAGTATTACCTTGTAAACAATTTATAATCTGTAATTGAAGTAAGATATGTATGTATATAACACTCATCAAAGCCTCCTAAAATAATCAAAATCCTTGATTTATCAACAAAGCAGCATCTGTGTAACACAACGCATCAAAATCAATTTTTATTTTCTTTTGCAACTGTTCTCGTATATAAAGACATATCACACAGCAAGTCCATGTTCTGGTGACAGCAATACACAACAAACAAGAAGTTTATATTCACCAACTCTGCGCAATACACCAAAATAATCTTGCCAAAACCAAAGCCTGTTTTATCTCTAGTTAAACTGCAGCTCCAAACATTATCTTGATTAATATGCCTCACCATGTTTCTTCATTCAAACACCCATAATGCATTGCGTACCGAGAAAATTCTCAACTATGGAAGATATCATATGAATACTAAAATTCTTGGAATACACATCAACAAAATATCAGTTTACATGTACAAACACAAATATACCTGTACCTCATACTTGGCAAAAACCTTGAGAAAACCTCAACTCATGAAGAAATGATTTCTTGAATAGAAACAGAGGAACCAATGCAGCTATATTGTAACGTCTTTAGAATCCATAATTTTTCCTCTACCAGGAGCACCTTTAGAAAACCTCACAATCTGCAGCATCGTAAAACACTATTATTTACATATTTACATCAACATCATCAATGTCTATGGATGTTTTTAAACTCTTCTGTAAGTGCATGTTGAAGATAGTATTATCTTGGTATACATGGTATATCTGCCAATGATGTCTGTTGGGTTAAAAATGATGTTAAGCAGTCGAGAAATCAACATAGATTCATGTTTCTTCTAATGTAAGGAACGTTTAAAGATTAAAAAGGAAAATAAATTGTGAAAGAGTTTTAGTGGAAATAAAGACCAATGAAACCATTTCCATTGGTTCTTGTCAATTCAGTACTATTCTGAAACAGAAAAATTTGGATAGAATTAGACAAAAAATAGTCTTTCTGGCAAGAAAAGATAAGAAAAAGAAGTGAAAAGAATGTAATTAAAAAAAACTATAAGCTGAAAAAAGTAATATCAATACTATAAATAGTAATATTGTGCCATATACATGTAGTGTTTATTCTTCAAACCCCCACACTTGCAGGTTTCTATCTTTTTTTTTTTTTTTTTATATTTATGTTTGCAGGTTTCTATCTTGTTATCATTAGGTCTCTTCGGTGCTATATGATTTCACAAAATCTTCTCAAAATTAAGTTTAATTCTGGACTCTAAATAATTCATATGAAACTAAAACTAAACTAAACATAGGGATTAAGAGATATAAAATATATGGCTAAAGAAAATTTAACAAAAAAGGATATTGCACTAAATGAAATATTTACAAACAACTTTCCCTCGCATTACAGATGTTATTGTGTAGTCTGAAAAAAGAGTAAATAAATTGTTATCAATAAGTACTGCCGACATAGTAGACGACATATTCATAATTTGTACTGGTAGGAGGGAACCTTACAAGAGAAAGCGCTGGAACTACAAACATCTTTAAGACTAGTGTTAGAATGGTTCTTGACATTTACTTCTACAAACATTACAAGTTCCTGACTAGAATATTGCTTTTTGATACAAACATACAGAGGGTAAAAAAGAAGAATGAAGAAAAGATGAGGGGCATGGAAGAAAAGGAAAGGGTAAAATCATGATCAGGAAAAAAAAGAATAACGGTAGGAAAGGCTTAGAATGGATGAAGAGTTTGATTTCAGAGAGAAACAAAGATAAGAACATGTTGTGTGGAATAAGGAATGCGAGAGAAGCTAACTTGCTAATTAATCAAGTTTTAAGGCACATGCATTATTTCAAGGGGAATTGAAAAATCGACCATTCAAGTTTCCAAAGAGGGAAACAGAGAAGAAGTAAAAAAAAAAAAAAAAAAGTAATTCATGAAATCTAATGAAAATTAAAAATTCAGGACTATCTTTCAAAACCATATTTTTCCTTCAATTACCCATATAATAAATGGGTAGCGATGTACGCCATCACAATTGTACTCATCAAACTAAAAATAAAGGGGAGGTTTCTGGTCATTTGGACTGGCATGCTTTGAAAAAAATGAGAAAAAGGAAATGCAACAGATTTTTATTTTGAAAATTGAGAAGAATTGTAAGCATGGAGGTTTTCCATAAACATGGAGTCTATTGCTTAGTTGTCAGGGTATTTATGCTGTTGCTCAAAGAAACATTATTGCTCTTGCAATCCTTGAGAGTTCCAGATCCTAAAATGAAGACCTGAGGTAGACACTGAGAGTTGTTTGTATTGTAATCATAGAGAATTCATATACCTCATTGAATTATTTGCTAATTCCAATGATTTGTTACAATTTTGAATACTTTCAGAGTGAACTTCAAGCACTAAATGTATTCAAATTTACATACAAACAAAGTATGAGGTTGATTTCATAATTTGTTTTGGTCACAAATGTCATCATACAAACTTAACATTTTGTAATAATGCTATGTAATGTTTTTCATTAGTCATTTTGTAGTCATGGTTATACTTATGTTATCAAATGTTATCAAGTGCTTGTATCAACACAAAGTTTAAACACTTCCCACATATACATGTATTTGACATCCTAGCAATGTGCAGCTAGCTGATTTCGTTTTGACAATGTACCATTACATTATCAAAAGAGAAATAAAATGGCTAGTGTCGTTTAACACCTTAGTACCGCAACTTGCACTTGAGTAAAAAAGAATGATCCTTGCAAGTGTTTGAATTTTTACAATGTATTATTAAATCATCAAATTCAAAATGCTAGTATTGTTTCATCTAGTACTGGTGAAGAGCTATCAGTACTGCATTCATCTACAGACCAATACATCTGAAGACTAAGACTGGTATTTACCACTTCTATTGAAGCCTGGAAGCATAAAGGATTGTATTTTCAATACAAGTTCATAGAGGAGATGTCATGCTACGATGATTGGGAATCATTCTTGATCTTGATAGACTGTGAATTAGAGCAGTCAACGCGCACTCTGAGAAACATGACATCATCCTTGATATAGTCCCGGGTCTTAAGGAAGTTGTGGGAGACGAAGGTCGGGTAGCCGTAGCCCAGGACGTGGACATCCTTACTGGGTCTCTGGAAGTTCTTCCACGTAGGATCGGGTGTGAAGGATTCCTTGATGTGCATGCGTTTGTTAGGATCCTCGTTCTGATCCAGGAGCGTGAAGGAGATGGGGAAGGTGAACGGCCACCGAAGCAACGAGTCAAAGTCACCGTTGGTCACCCTGATGTAGACGGAGACGTGCTCCCCCTCCCCGGAGCCGTTACCACTGGGGAAGATGGACACCTGAAGCTTGTAACCATAGCGACCAGTGAAGAATGGAGGACTCACCAGCTCCACCTCTTCCTCGTTCTTGGCTTTGGAGAACTTTTCTGCGTAGTCTGTGATACGCCAGAGGAGTTGGCCATCGGTGTTGAGAGACATGGTGTCTAGCTGACCTTGTAGGTGCTCTATGGTCTTCTGCTGGCTACTGACTATGCTACACATCATGGTGAGATGGGACTTCATGCTCTCATCCAGGTGCCTCTCTAAACTCATCCGTGGACCCTGGATTGAGATAATTCAAAATTCAATAAATGATTGGCATGATGCAGACTTCTTGCTATGACCACTATTATCACGGATCTTTCTGTAACTACTTACACCAAAGAGATACCAGCTCTTTGCTTACACTGAGCCTGATACTTATACTGCTGCTTTTTCCACTGTTACTTTACTGCTGCTACGGGAACTGTATCTGCCCCTACGTGAGGGTGTCTGTTACCCTTCACCTACAGTATATCATTTAAGGTTCTATGAATATGGCTCCTCCATTCAAACTTAAATCCAACCTCAAGTTTTGGTTGTACTAAAGAAATAATAATAATAAAACTATCCAGCCTGGCAATCCTTAATACACTAGCACTATCAAAGCCTCTGTCAATCTAGAGCATATACATAACCAAACCCAATTTTTTCCTTGTCTTGTACTACCTTGTTTGCGCTTCTAGAATACAAGGAGATTAGCGGACGGTTCAAGTCCTGCTACTACAACCTTTACTACTTCTTCTACATTCTCACCTTGTGTTTACATCCGTGCTGTTTGTAAGGGCAGCATGCGAGAGCAGATGGACAGGCTTCTGTTAGATGTTTCTCCATCTCTTCTCTGGGTATCTTTTTAGGCTCACATCGGTTAGGGCAGGATACAGGGTACCGGGGGCACTGATGAAGATGGTTCTACAGGAAAAGAACAATAATAAATATAAAAACATTATTTTGTGTTTTGTACAATGATTGGTATGGAATCTGTTGGATTCAGCAAAAATTGACCCAAGATACTGCTTTTCTGAGGGAAGGGTTTAAACTCAAAAACTTACGAATTCTTCTTGCAACTTTGTTTACATATTTAAATAAATTAATGATGAATTTTGAGGGGGAAAACATGGCTCTATTATGATGGATTGATGATCACCTAGCGAACCATCCTCATTATTAGTATTTATAATCATCTACCACTAAAATAATAACCTTCATTATTATAGTCATCAAAATCACCACCACCACCACCACCACCACCACCATCACCATCATCATCAACATCATCACCACCACCACCACCACCACCATCACCATCACCATCATCATCAACATCATCATCACCACTACCACCATCACCATCACCATCACCATCATCATCACTCCACCATCATCACCATCAATTATGTATCTCATTGTAATCAATCAATGTATAATTCATTTCAGTATGTTGTAAACTATTTTCATATGTATTGTTTAATGCTATTGTATGTGTTAAACTGTTGTATATTCAACTTGCTTTTTATTTATGTGCAATGGACCTTGTGGCAGATTAGCCTTGTGCTAAACAAGTTATCCAATAAAGTCTACTACTACTACTACTACTACTACTACACCCCTACCACCAACATCACCATCACCATCATCATAACCATCATCATCATCACCACCACCACCATCATCATCATCACCATCATCATACCACCACCAGGCCACCTACATCTACATCTTCATCTTCCATTTACCTGTAGTGTTTCATAGACGAACTCCTTGTGGCAGTATTTACATGGAATAGATCGTTTTGCACACTCATTGAGCATGTGATGATTGATAAACCGTCTCTGCAGCTTAGCTCCACACTTGTTTTCACAGAATACCACTTCCAGCTGACATTTGCCAAGATGAGTCTGCAACAAGATGAGAGAGAGAGATAACATGCAAGAGTGAGACTTGGATGATGAATATCTCAGCCCAGATTTCTATTTTTAATCACGATTCTGGCTTATGATTAGCATCAGGAAAGACTAACGATTCATATCATTGAATACTGCCAGTACACATGCTGCTTTTAGTGTATACCCACTCATAAGCAGGGTCAGAAAAATGAGGCAAATATTTAATGCAAGCTATCCAAGAACATAATTGCCTCAGTGGATTAAAATACATTCAGAAGTATATCCTATCCACATTAAACCCTTTGACACTTCATTAATCCAAAGGTTTACAAATTAAGTGTTGTTGCCTCGTAAAAGTTAAAAGCCTTTGCTAGCATCTACAGGGAACAGAAAACGTATGATGACAACACTGAAACACCAATGGCAACCCCAATGTATATATTTAAAAGACGAATGTCCTATTTTGGAGACATTTCTCTCAAAAGTTAGTCCCATAATGACAGTTCTGTTGACTTTTTGATGAGCACCTATTACAATAGAGGGCTTGAACCTCTCGGCTTTTATTTTTCTTAGGTTCGGATTAAAAACAATAGCTTAGTATCTTACATCTATCTTGCTGCCTGTGAACTCTGAGCCACAGTATTCACAGGTCTCTGAGCGACGAGGGCAGTCAATGTCTAGATGATCCTTGAGATGATTACGAGCTACCATAGCGCTACACTCCTTACATGCAACCATGTTGTACTGGCAAGACTCCAGATGGGCCTGATGGACAGAGAGAAAGAGAGAGAAAGAGAGAAAGAGAGAGAAATTAATGTATATGTATGACATCAATATGTAGCTAACAATTAATTTGAATCATAGTTATATAGTTATGTATCTTGACCCACATGCATGTTGTCACTATGAAAACAAACATACCGGTAAATGCAACCAGAAAACTTCATTTTTTTCACAATAATCATAAGGAATCAACTTATCAAAGAATTGAATATACCGGTATATGTATACATGTAAGAAACTCTAGAAAAGAGAGAGAAAGAGAGAGAAAAAAAAAAAGTATTTTCGCATAAAAAGGACTTAGCTATCTTCTGAAGATGTTGAGTTATTCTGAGATACACATACAAATAAAGGCAACCCACATACCACACGCCAAAAAACATCTCATGTACATTACCATCACAATGTAAAAAAAGAGGCATAGTTCAAGGCTTAGTTCAAATCTACATCTTCCCATGCTCTATATAGACGTCATATATAATTAGCAGTCCCATCAAAATTATTTACACAAGGTCTTTAATCTCTTGGGTGTCCAAAGCTTGACCGTTCAATTCCATTACTCTCCCCCCCCCCCCTTCTTGTCCCTTTAATCTCATCTTTCTTTCTTTTCTGTCTTTCTTTCTTTCTCTCTCTTTCTGTTTTTCCCTCTCTCTCTCTCTCTCTCTGTTTTTTCTCCTCTCTCTCTCTCTCTCTCTCTCTCTTTCTCTGCTTTTTTCTCTCCTATCACTAACTCTCTCTCTTTCTCTCTTTCTCTCAATAATGACCAATACTTCGCACCAAATGTCAACAGTAGTTCCACCCCACCTTGGGGGGATTGCAGCGCTCTGTCAGCTGTAGTTCCATTGTACCACTGTTTGACAGGCACTGAAGACTAGGTGTGAAATCAAAGCCTACTTTATTGATTGAACTATTTGAGAGGTGCAGAGTCATTTCCAATGTTAAAATGGAAAAGGTTATTTGGTGTTTGCTTGAAAAAACCAAATAGCAAAGAATTGATTGGCATTTTTCCTGTTGGAATGTAGATCATGGTCGCGTGTGACACTATTCTTTGAGGTAAATGGCCAATGTCAATTTTAAAAACCCGAAAGGCATTATCAATCATCATCATCAAACGCTTGTTCAAAATGAACCTTATTCAAACTATTTGGGGAATGTATGAAATATAATGACCATCGTGATCAAGTCTTTCAGACGCTAATCCAGTTCTTGAAAAGTTCACAATCATTTGGCCTTTGTAAGCAGGGGATTTTAATACCGCGGTGTTCAAACAGCAGTCAAATCTGCCTATCAAGGCCAACCGAGGGTAACAGAGAAAGTGGCCACTATAGGCAGGTGGCATTTAAAGACAGGTTCTATAACTCACATCTCTCTCTCTCTCTCTCTCTCTCTCTCTCTCTCTCCCTCCCTCTCTCTCTCTGGAAACAAATTACATGGTCACTATAGACAGGTGGCCTTTATAGAGAGGTGGCCACTAAGACAGGTTTGACTGTATATTCCATCCCATCATCAAAGATTCTTCCCCATCTCATCGATGACCGATGACCATCACGAGGATTACATCATCCTTGATTAGTGAGAGATGTTGTTGACCTGTTTCACTCTATCACCCATTACTCATTAGATGGAATAGACTAACAGATGTCCTTGTTTATTGATTGGATAGAAACGTGCAAATCCTAAAATTAGCACTCCTAATCATCTCAACCTGATGATATTTGTTTCTCCATAGCAACAAACAAGTTGGATGATAACTTCTGGATAGTGATGAGTGTTGGTGGAGGTCACTCATCATTAGACCAGGCAACAAAACAGATGTATCTGGTATAGTTGAATTGTCTTTTCCTTCCTTATCTCTCTCCACTACCTTTTATATTTCTTTTCCTTTTCATCCTTTCTTTTCTTTCCTAAACTTTCCCTTTCTCTATCTCTCTCTTCTTCCATCTGTGTATCTCCCTCTGTCTATGTCTCCATCTATTTTTATCTCCCTCTATCTCTTTCCCTGTCCATCCATCTCCCTCATTAATCTCCCCCCCCCTCTCCCTCTCTCTCTCTCTCTCTCTCTCTCTCCTATCTTCTTTTTTCTTCAATCTACCCAACATGAATCTGTCTTTCTCTTCCATCAGTTCCATGAAATGGCAAACATCACACCAAGCAATAAGCTTTTACTTCAACTAAAAACTATCTGGCAACAAGTAATATTTGAATAATAAAAAAAGTAATTTTGACACCTTCCTCTCATATGAGGTATCTTTCTCAAATCATATCCTATCAACACCATGCTTTTCCAGCTTCATCTCTGATATGTCTCTTATCTTCTTTTGTTTCCTATCCTCTCTATTACATATGTGTATTTCTATAACATGCAATCAATAATCATCAATCACAACCTCTTCTAAACTGATGTCTGGCTACAAGAAATATTTAACTTCACAATCTAAGTAACCACCGGAAAATCCATGTCAATGCTTTCCACTTGTGCAAGGTAACAATCACAAGTATATCCGTTATGACATAGCAACACTCTATCTCTCTTCATGATGCATCTTCCAGCATCCTCCTCCATGGTCTTCATGCACAACATCCTTCGCAAAGATGGTAAACACGATGATGATGTCAGAGACTCCCATCGCATTGGGGAAGTGTGACAAGTCAATTTGCATAGATGACGGTTGGAGCCGAGTCTGGTAATATAGATTTACGCTTTCATGTTCAAGCTTTATTGACACAGTCACTGAGTAAACCTCCTACTTTTTTATTCAAGAAGATTCCCAATACAGGCAAAATATTAGAATTTTAAACGATTCACACAACAGTGCTGCTTTGCAGTTCTCCATTCATTTCTACAGATGTTATTTATTGTATATTTGTTTCAATGTAGTTCCAATGTAATATTTCTAGTGAAAATAATGAAAAAGAAACCGGGAGAGAGGATGATGGATAGAGAGAGAGAGAGAAAGAGAGAGACAGCGGGAACAATGGGAGAAGAGGTTGAGAACAGATTTCAGAACTTCTTACCCAAATAGCTCTTTGAACAGCAGATTTGATACAAGAAATTAACTAATACATTTTTGAAAATCAATCGATGGAGTGTGCCAAAAAGAGAAAACATAGCAAATGTATGTATGAACTTACCCCATCAGAAAATACAGGTGTATTCCATCAGTAATACAAGAAAACAACTGTGATTTACTGATCAATAGTGTTGCCCTTTCTTTCCAAGCTATATAAAGCTTGCAAACATCCATCAACAAAATTAATAGTGGACCAAAAACCAAAACAGTATGAAATGGCATTGACTGTCATTCTCCTGGTATTAAGCCCTTCTCTAATCCTTCCATCAACCCATACAAGACAGATAATCATAAAAACATTTAACAGGTCAATGACATTCTTACAAATTCTTCCGCAAAGTTCAAATTATAAATCTGCTTTAACTACCACATCAAAAGATCACAGTAAACAATAAAGGACAACAAATTGATGATGAAATGAAAACAAAATAACCTCAAAATGGCAGCTGTATTCCATGCACTAATGAATATCATCTGTAGGTATTTATTTTTTCAGTAGAAGCTACAGATTTCGGCTTTACATCTCCAGCCATGCTTTCATAGTCCTGCATATTTGTCGCCATGAATTAAAATTACAGTCCGAAAACCACAGAAATCGGTTCTTTATTTTCTTCCACACTGTCATATCTCCACCTGGTGTAGCGTGTGCCGATGCTATATTGCGAGTCTTTTCAAGGTTTTTGGTCAAATGAACAAATAATGTTTGGTTGGATGAACTTGTCCAGTTTGTACAGGAATGTAATTAGATTGATGAGAATGCTTGACTACACACTTTATGATGTGTGGGACCGAACGCCTTGTCAAAACACTTTAATAAGCAGGGGACAGTTCTTACATATATTAAACTGGTCTGAACTTGTGATGACACACATGCCTACAATGAAAATATTTCCATTCACCTTTATGCCTTTATTGATTTCTTCACTTGTCCTTTCTTTGAGTATGAATATTAAATTGTTTTGCTTTATATTTAAAAAACAGACTTCATTTTATTTCACATCAGTTTACATATTAAGGGGGCAGCAATTATTCTATGACTATCAAAAGAGTGGAGGGAGGGAGCTAAACTTCTTAAAAGCAAAATTCACATATCATATTAGACTTGAGTTTAATATGCTGATCAACTCCATTTGAAAGACAATATTACAAATACATGCAAGATGCAAAGATAAAAAAAAGAAAGACAATATAGGGGTAGGGGGCTTTACAATTACAAATAATATGGTCACTCCTATGATGAAATGATTCATACCTTGACATTATTCAAACACTCTAACAAAACATGAAGTTCAATTAAATCAGAGTGTACATATCAAGACACAGTTGTCAGATAATGACATTGTCAATGAAAAAATCTGATCTGATCTATATACAAAGTCTGAAGTTGGAATTGTGGAAGAATCCATCACAAAAGGTATTTTTGTGATTTTCTTACTGTCACTTTTATGATGAACTGCTCATACCTTGTCATTAATTCAAACACTCTCAAAAACCACAAATTCCATATAAACCCATGCTTACATATCAAGACATAGTGACAGATAATCACATTGTTGATAAAAAAAATCTCTGATCCTCGAAGTCTGAATTTAGAATTGTGGAAGAATCCATCACAAAAGGTATTTTTGTGATTTTGTCCACCTTATAGTCTGGATGGTGCAGACAGCGAAAATCAATGAATACTAATATTTTTTCTTCTAAAATAATTCTGGTTCATCCTGTGGCACGCTATGGAATTAACCACAACCGATAATGTCATTCATGGACGTTCATTGAAGCAGAAATGGCTGGAGGTGATGTGGGAACAGAATGAGAAGAACGAACGTTTTGATGATGAGCACTGATAATGGGGATTACAAAATCTATTCAACTATTCAAATTGTTATCATTATTGAGCAGCTGTCACCACACAGA